AAATCCCATGAAGGGTCAGGTATGAGTTGGTCCAACTTGACAGCAGAGTTTTTTGAGTTTTACTTACTTTAAATGATACTACTAAGAAGAACAAGAAATAACAAGACAGTTCTCTCAAAGGTCAATTATCAGTAGAATTCAGAAAACGACTAACTTTCTTTGTGCTATTTATATTACTAAACTTTAAATTCCAACTTGAAAACATGCTCGGCATCATCTATTCTTTTGCTGTCTCTATGAAATGGGTGGAATTCACTTTAACTGCTGGATGAAGGAAGACAGGGACAATTCAATGACATAACCAAGGTCCTACAGCAGATGAATCTTGGTCTCTGATGTGACCTTTAGCTGCATCACTTGGGCAAGGTCCTCAGCAATGCTGCTCTAACTACAACCAAAAGGCAGATCCAGAAAACTACCAAGCAAGTTATTAACAAATCCCTACGAAAATACAACATCCTCTATTAATTTAGCCAGGAATGAGAAAACACTTTGTCTTTGTTAGTAAACAGAAGGGGGGGGGGGACCCAAACCCACAAAAAGCAAACCATCATTACTGAAAAATCAGAACTAACTTGTAGCTGACCTTCCAGTGGGTTTTCTAAGGTTACAAATTGCCCGGGGGAAATTCCCATCTTTCTCCCACTGGTGGCCTGAGTGGTTGGTGGATTTGAACTGCCTGCCTTTGGACAGGTAGCACAACTAACTATAAGGCAACCAGCACGTGCCAGCACACAGATTCTGTTTTCAAATGCTGAGAATCCCATCACCAGTTGCACTTCAGTATATAAAGGTACAAGTGAAGAATGACCTTGAAACACATTTTAAAAATCAGCACACTAAATTCCCAAACTCTCGCAAACGCTTCACTCTGGGAAGTTACACAGATGTCAACATTTTCTGTACTTCTTTTAAAGGACACACTTTCAGATTACATAGACTGTGATGACAAATACTCTCAGTAGCAGTTCTCCTTCCTTGGAGGATGAATTTGATTGCTCAAGTCACTAAGAGTCACTTGCTATGTATCGTTGAGTCAGAACTGACCCATAGGTGACCCTCTGGTGGCTTTTCAGAGGCAGTTAATCGAGCAGGTGATTGCCCATCCTCCTCCCACAGAGCAGCTGATAGATTTGAACTGTGTGCTTTCAGGACTGCAGCACTGTTTCTTACCACTAGGCCACCAGAGTTCTAAGAGTCACTTAGAAGGGAACTAACTAAATAAAGTGAGTATCAAGCATTAAATATAAAACCAAATCATTAAAATGGGTAAAACAGTGAGCTCTATACCCCTATCTGTAAAGCAGCATGAAATTTGCCCCTGAAGAATTTGGACATTTCTAGCTACTGTAATGGAAATAAAAACAGGAAGAAGGTACCTGTTAGTTGTTTCTATGCAGTGCATCCAGTCATTTACTTCTGGAACTTGATCAGTCTTTTTCCAGCTGTACAAACAAATCTTTCCACGCTCTAATCCTACTGCAATAATGTACCTATTTTCCAGGGGGAAGGAAGAGGGAATTAATTGAGCATGACTGTGTTATCTGTATCATCACTTTACGAGTAATTCCTCATGGCCGTCCCAAATGCCCCTGCCTCCTGAAGAACCCTGGAAGCCCAGGAGGCTGTGGGTCTTCTGCTCCTGTTCAGCCGGAAGAGCCTCTCTGCACAGTACACACAGATTCCCCCCTGAATCTGGCCAGGGAAGCCCATGGACTTGTTTCTGTGACTGGCTTGCAAGGACACTTGTTCCACTAAAGACACTTAGGACAGAGAAAACACTACAATCTTATACTTGGCAGATGTAAGAAGCTGGGGGCCACCCTCCTACACTCCTCTATCATACTCCGAATCACAGAGTTCTTTAAATTTACAATTCTTAGGAGAAGCATGAACATTGTGGGGAAAAAAAAGCAGCAACTCAAACGAAGAGAATCAACATGTGAAATCATACAAAGCTAAATAATGAGAAACCAAATTATCCTCCAGCAGAAAGCGTTAATATTCTACCCCACAGAGGGGACTCACCGCTGGGAAAGGCTAAGCACTGGGCAGACACTGACAGCTGTCACTGACCCACCCACGTCCAGGATCGAGGAGCAAGGGCCAATGCTGTGGTCGAAGGAGTCACTATCAGGGTCGCACTTGCCCCAGACAACCACCTAAAAAGACAGACCAAACTGTGTAAAGCTTTTCACAGAAGGATTTCTAGCAATGCATTAGTTTTCAATAGAAAAGATAATTTAAAGTATTTACTCTGTTGTATGGAAAAACAAAACAAAACAAGCAAACCATTTAGCTTTTCTATTTGTGTGTCATGCTCTAGAGTTTCAGAATGCTTCAAGTATTACAGAGAGACCACAGCGTGCAAGGCATGAGTGGGTATGACCTCAACTGTCTATTGAAGTGTGCTATCCAAGGCGGACTGACCCTACCCAGAGATCAGACAGTGTCTAAACGCTCTTAGATTCATGACCACACTCATTCTGTCCAGTGAGAGCCCACTGGGCAAGTCTGCACTGATGAATTCACGAATCTCCCCACAAAGCTGCCACAGAATTTATGGGCACCAGTCCCCTCCCTGGTTCTCCACCTACAGCACCACTGCACAGGGTACAGCTCAGCTGTCAGTGGTAGTTCAATTTAATGACACCCACATGTAAGACATGAGGCTTCCTTGGAAGCTTTTGTCTCAAAGACGTGTGACTGGTCACAGAGAAATGAAGCAGGCACCAAAGCAGACAAGAGTATCAGTCCCAAAGCAAGACCCCAAATTTGCTTTGTCTGAGCAAACAGAAGGGTTTTCCCAAGAGCATGCAGAGTATCCATTTAAGGCACCTACCCCACCCCTGGGAGGCACAGCTGCACCACCTTCCCCAGGTGCGACCCAAGGGCAGGAGTAGTGCTGCTCCCTCAGCAGCTGGCACAGTATGGCCCAGTCAGTGCTGGGGCAGAGAAACAGCCAGATAGAGGGACAGTGTGACAGAAAGCTGCATAAGCAACTGCCACTGAGGGTTTCCCCCGAGTGGCACCATGCCGGTGCTAGCCCGTTCTCCCTGGAGAGGGCAGGGACAGAAAATTCCAAACTGCCTCACCATCTCTGGTTCAGAAGAAATGCAGACAAAGGGAAAGAGATGAGCATAAAAAAAGAAAAAAGAGGAAAACGGATGCTACTCCCTGAGAACCGGGACAAGCGTCATTTCCAAATACCTAGTAACAGCTAATATTAACTTTTATTATTATTAGTTACTATTATTAGTAACTTTAATATTAGCTAATATTAATGATGATTATCAATAATAACAATACTAGGTGTGATTAATTATTAGTATTATACCCATTAACAGTCAATATTAGGTGCAAATATTAGCTAATCGCAGCAAATACCTATTAACAGACTCAGCTGCACATAACAATGAACAGCTAATCAGTTTTGATTCGCTAACGGCTTAGGTGCTCTCCTCTATCACTGATTGAAAAGGTGAAAGTCACTCATTTATAAGCTTTTCTTCTATAGAGATCATCGGATAAAGACCATATGCCTGGAAGGTCTTCTGTTCACATCTTTAATTTCCACTGAAAATGGCTTATATAATTTAAAAAGAATGGTTTTCAAAACAAATGTGTATATCTAATAGAAGGGAACACAGGAAATTAAAAACCTTGTGGCAAAGAGAATGGATTATACTCTTCATTAAAACTTTTTTTTAACATTACCTTTTACATTAAAAAATACTGAGTTGTTTGTTTTGGTGTTTGGGGTTTTTTTAATTACCTTTCTGTCTCGACTCCCTGTGAAGAAATACTTGCCATCAGGACTCCAGGAACAAGACCAAATAATTCTACTGTGCACGCCAGTGACTGTGTTGGTGAAGGCAAACAGCACAAAAATGGGCTCTGAAAGAAACGTTCCACACCACTTAGTAAGCAGAGAAAGCAGCCAGAGGGGTTTTCAATCTTTTGTACCTTTCAGAAACAAAGTGCTTAAATGCCATATCCATCATGTAACTTTGCTGTTGTCATTAAGTGCCATCGAGTCACAGGTGACTCATAGCGACCCTGAAGGAGAGTCCTCGACGCTTCATGTAACTTAGCCAACAACTTATAAATACTGATTTTAGGAGACTAAGGTGTACCTGATATAGGCCATAGTCACAATTACTTACTATACATCAGATATCTGGACAATGGGTAGGGATGATAGAAGGAGAACTGATGCCTTTGAGCTGTGGTGTTGGAGAAGAGTATTGAATATACCATGGGCTGCTAAGAGAATAAACAGGAGAGAGTGAAACCAAGCTGCTCCTTAGAGGCAATGATTCTGAGGCTTCGTCTGATATACTCTGGACATGTTGCAAGGCAGGATCAATCCTTAGAGAGGGACACTATGCTTGGAAGGGTGGGTGGACAGCACCAGAGTGGAAGATCCTCGATGAGATGGATTGATTCAGTGACTAGGTAATGGGCGTGGGTTTGTCAGAGACACTAAGACTTGGCATAGGACAGAGCAGGGCTGAGGGCTGTTGTACACAGGGTCGCTATGAGTCGTAGGCAACCCAACAGCACTTAACAACAACAACAAGTAATGGACCAAGTTCAAGTGACCAATCTCTCACCAGAAGATGGCGTGCATTTATCTGGCAAGTAAAAAATGTTTCATACTGACTAGTCCTTCTCTAGTGACTGATGACAAATATCCAAACACAAAGATTCAATTGATGCCACTGGAAGAAACTGGAATCCATTTAGCCTTATATGGGAACTAGCCAGACTTCTATAATGAATTATCAAAAAGATTAAAGCACCATTAAAATAATGTAATAATGTAAAATGCTTGTGCTCACAGAACTGAAGAACAAATTAAAGCTCTGAGTTACACCACTGAAGGATTCTATGGGTAAAATATTGAATGATGTGTGAAGCATCAAAAGAAGGTAGAAAGACAATGGAATACTATGCAGCATTGAAAAATAAGGAACTCATGAAATATTATGCAAAGTGGATGACCCTGGAGGACATTATGCTGAGTGAAATACCTCAGTCACAAAAGGATAAATATCGAATAGGGTCACTATTGTAAAACAGAACTGACATCGGGTTTGAGGGAAAACAGAAGAGGGGAGAAATGATTTATATGGCATTGAAACAGATGCAGGAAAGAACTGTTTAAAAAGGATATATGATTGGGCATTGTTGTCAGGACAGGAGTCCAGAATGAAGGCTGCACAGTGGAATGGACTTGGGGGAGGGACTGCATAACAATGTAAGTTTTTCTTTCACTTTTCAAGGAGAAGAGTGAAAGGGAGAGAGGGTGAGCAGGGAGAAAAGTGCCACAATGAATGACTGGAAACTCTAAAAAAAAAAGGTGGAAGAACATACACAGTAGCTGTACCAAAAAGAACTGGTGACACTGAATAACTTCAAGAAGTAGCATACGATTAAGAACCAACAGTACTGAAGAAAGAAGTCCAATGTGCACTGAAGGCATTGGCAAAAAATAAGGCCCCAGGAATTGATGGAATATCAATTAAGGTGTTTCAGGAAACAAATTCAACCTGAGACACGCTCATCAGTCTCTGGCAACAAATATGGGCCTGTTACCTGGCCAACTGACTGGAAGAGATCTATATTTGTTCCCATTCCCCAAAAAGGTGATTCATCAGACTGCAAAAATGAGTGAACAATATCATTAATATCACATGTTAAGTAAAATCATGCTGAAAAGATATTAATGGCCAGAACAGTACATTGGCAAAAAACTACTAGAAATTCAAGCAGGATTCA